TCCTGCTTCACCTGACAAATTGCTGTGACATTTCTTCCTTGCAGTGAATCTGGAAGAGTGTCTCCAGTCAGCCAGCCTAATCCTGTCAAGTGACCCTGCTTTCAGAATTTTAGAAGATGGCTCAATTTATACAACACAAGACCTCATTTTGTCTTCTGGAAGGAAGAGCTTTTCCATTTTCCTCTCAGAAAGTCAGAGCAAGGAACAAAAGGAGATAGAAATTACACTGTCAACAAGGAAAAACAAGGTATAATAGTCAAGGGCGTTAAGTAGCCTGGCATATTACTCTGCTTATGGGAGCCCTTCATTTCACGTATGTCTTTTCCACTTAAAAAAGTAATGTAAGTAATGTCTCCGCTGTTAAGGAGTGGTCGAGGTAATTATAAAATTGCATAAAAATGATCAACTTTGTCAACAGGGAGCAAAGTCAGCATATCAAAGGTTTCAGATAGTGTTTGAGGCGTGGCAATAAGAACAACCAACCTGAAGAACATGGGTGAGGCAGGGGCGGGTCTACAACTTAGGGAAAAGTGAGTAGGGCCAGATATGCAGCACTCCACCCTGAGTGGCTTTCTGCCTTCTGACTGTGGGCTTGAGTGTGTCTTTGAAGAGAAGAGATGATCTAAACTTAATTTGAGCTTAATGGGAATGTTCTACAGGGTCCCTCTCTTCAGAGAGGAGTGTGGTGGGCCCATAGAATTGGTTTGAGTGTTTTGAGTATGGGCGTATTTTCTTGGTGCAGTGAGTCGTGATCAGTTCAGGAAGTGAGAAGAGAAACATTGCTGGGAATTCACATCTCATTTTAAGCAAACTCAGAGCAATGAATTTGGTTTTTACAAAATCATGTATTGATAAGCAATTCCATTTATAAGTTTTCCCAGCCAAAGTCTTTTTCTTTACAGTAACTCTTCTTCACTGACTTTAGAACATGTTTTAGGTTTACAAAACACTATTTTATAACCATATTGTAAAGCTTCTTCTCTACATTATATAAAATAAAACATATTTGAACAGATGTTGGCTTGTGTCTTTATGTAGGTATATAAATGTATGCACTGTGTTGAGGGTTTTAACAATTATTTTTGTTGAATCGCTCCTAGGGAAATAAAGCCAATTCTTAAATATTTGTTAGATTATTTTCAGAGGGATCTATAGCTTATCTGGTGGCATCTCTCCTAATGCCCTATACATTTCTGCCTGGTTATAACTGGTTAAATTAGGACATAGATAGAACTGGAGAATAGAATGCCTTCTGAATTCTTATTGTGTATGTCTATATGTCTTGTTACTAAGAAATAGAAATGCTATAGAGATTACCCATGATCTTATTATGTATAATCTTATTTATTCCCTCCACGTTAATACATTATCTGAAAAAAAAAATCACTGTTCTGAGAACAATATGCAATGCCTATTTCTTTGTTCCTTCTCAAATGTAGGTTATTAAGAAGAGACATACTAAAGACACAGTCCTCAAGCGCAGCAAGAGACGATGGGCCCCTATCCCATGCTCGCTGATGGAGAACTCACTAGGTCCATTCCCACAACATGTTCAGCAGGTACATTTCTTTCTATTTGGTTTCGTATGTATTAGAGTATTTTGCTGTTCAATCTTCCCATTGAATTGTACAGTGTATCAAAACAAGACTCTACACTAGTGGTATTAATAAGGATCATTTTTATTCACCAGAGCTAAGATTGCATAGAAATTATGCAGTCTATTTTAATGCTTTTTTCCAGAAATCATATTTGGATGTTTATTGGGTCATCAGAAAAGTCATGATTTCTATGCATTTTTGCATAGAAAAACAAAGAAAAATGCATCATGACTTTTCTGATGACCCAACAGAAACAAGTTTGTATTTTGAGTTTTTGATGCCTTTGGTTTATGTTCAAAGGCTCAGAGGCCATGCCTACAGGTTTTGCTCAACTCTCACTTAAAATAACACCTAGCCTTCAATAAAATGACCAGTATTTCCATTTTCCAAGTAAGGGTGTCTCATTGCCACACAGCTAGATGCAAATATAGAACACTAGGAAATTATGCAATTCTCAAGGCAAGAAAGTTGCATTGTTTCTTCTAAAACCTGCACCATTTTCCATACCAAATAATCTCAAATTATTGAAACTCTTCTTTCTTTCTTTTTTTTTTGAAGAGGTTCTTGCTATAGGGCGCATGCACTCGCCACACAGACAGAGACAGAGAGATAGAAAGTGAGAAATCATCCCCCATGGGGGATGGCCACACCGCAATCCCTTCTCCTCCATTCTCTTCTTGGGATCATGGGCATGCACGCACACGCGCCCAGTTTGAGTTTAAGCCACCGGGTCTGAGACTCAAACTGCAGTCGACTACATGGGAGTCCAGTGACATAGCCATTACACTAACTGCTGGTCCCATCAAATTATTGAAACTCTTCTTATACTTCGCATAAAATAAAGAATACATTCATAGGAATTATAAAAGTATATTTCTGGGCAAGTTTTAGAAATATGCACATAACAAAAGAATTTGGGATCAAATAAGTGACCAAGGAAGGTTTTCAACATTGCAGAATTCAAATAGGAATTTGAAAAACATGGGAGACAGTGGGGTGGATGAACAGAAGAAAGGAAAGCTAAGAGAACAGAAAAGAAAGCAAGTGATAAAAAAAAAACTGTTATGAGAGCTTAGGGTGAAGATATTTATCATGATTTATTATGACATTTTTGTTCTGCTTTTAATTTGTCACTTATTATTGTAGATCCAATCTGATGCTGCCCAGAATTACACCATCTTGTACTCCATAAGTGGGCCAGGAGTGGACAAAGAACCTTTTAATTTGTTCTTCATAGAGAAAGACACTGGAGATATCTATTGTACACGAAGCATTGACCGTGAGCAATATCAAGAATTTCCGGTAGAATTACTGAAATATTCATTCTAAATTCTGTGTTTACTATTGATTTGTTAATATTTTAAATTGTGCTTATTTACATATTATAACAATTGAGTATTTTATTTAATGGTTTAAATATTCTTAATATTGAATGTAAATTTCAAATGTCTTTTTTCTTTTAATTCAAATTTGCCAGAGAGTGTATAAACTCACAGGAGAGAGAGAGAGAGAGAGAGAGAGACAGAGAAAGAGAAAGTGAGAGAAAGAGAAAGTGAGAAGGCGTCCCAATGAGGTGTGCTCATGCTGCAATCCCATCTCCTCCATCTCTCCCTCCTTGAGGATTTCAACTAAGCCTGTATGTGTGTCTGATGTGTTTTTCAAGCTATACAGTCTGTGATTCGAACCTTGTAACATCCAGCTTTCTTCACTACCAGGCCATGCACTGGCACTAAAGGGCACATTTCTATTGGTGCCAATGTTAAACAGAGATATGGCATATAATAAAGGAAGTAAAGGGGTAAAGGTATGAAAAATATAATGACACAATTTGAAAGATTTCAATCTGCAGAATCCTGGAAAAACAATCAACAGTTTTACTGAGTTCAAATAAAATAGTTCATTTATTCTCAGTTGAGGCTATCCATGCAAAAATCATATGAGAACTAAATGAAATAAAATACTGATACTAAACTGATACCTAAAATTCTGATCTGATTACTCTGGCATGAGGCCCAGTCATCATAGTGTTTCTACGTATCAGGGTTGGATCCACTGCCTTCATCCTTGCATGGCATTATCTTCTTCTTCCTCTTTTTTTTTTTTCCCCCCTCTTTTTCATTCTTCCCAAGCAACAAGATCCTCGAGTGGTATTTAGCAATCCAAAACAAATTTACCAATCATCTCATTTTATCCTGCCCAAAGACCAAATCAGAACTTTTCTGAAAATTAAATCCTTTCTTTTTCTGTTTCAAATTTCACGTATCTCTTTCATTTTCTAGAGGATAACTTGACGTATAAGAGAAAATCTCAATAGGTTTTTAGAATAATGCTGGATGAAAGCTACTAAGTGTTTGTTGTCTCAAATTATAAAATATTTTAATAAAGAAAATCTTAACTAAAGAAAAATATGAAAGAGACACTTGTACTTGGGCAGACCTCAGTGTAATATCTTAGTATATAGCTGAAAGACGAGTCAGAATTAGTGACCACAAAAGGTATTTAGGAAAGAAGTTAACAGTACAGGCAGGGAGGAGCTGTTAATTTAATTCAGGCAGGTGCATTAGTAATAAATAGAAAGGAATCAGTAATAACAACGACAAAACAACCCCTAGCATAGTGTAGTGTGAACCTAAGGAAGAGTGTTAAATGAGAAGCCAGAGAGCTTGGTAAAGATTAGCATGTAAATGATCTTCTAGTTCATACTAGGAATACTGGACCCCAGCCTAAGGCTGACCAACCACCAAAGACTCTGTATTATATTGGCTTTTTAAAAAACAATTTGCATTTTTCATTCTAGATAGTTCATAATTAAATACAGTGGTGGGATTATAGTGACATCTTTTATTTACAGTTTTAAGTTCTTTCCCAATTTCTTTAGACTAAACATATTTTCTCCTAATAATAAAAAACTGTTACTTTAAAAAGTTTATACAAGCTGTTACGGAACAGGTAAGTACCATGGTGATCATTTTGATCTTTCTATTTATAAGCAAAGAAGAATAAAACTTAATACTAGAGTAGAAAAAAAAAAAGAAACTGCCTACTCTGTAGGTTGCAAAATACATTCTATTCTACTGGGGGATCATTTGACAGGATCCTGTTTGCCAACCTGCTGCCTGTCTTCTCTTCTTTTTGTTATCATGTCAGAAGGAAGGGGCGAAAATAGTTTAAAATGAAGAATATGCTACTTTGTTACTTTGAACATTTTTTAAAGGACAGATATATAAAAGAATTTGGAATTTATGCTCAAAGTTAGGCTTCAGAATAATTTCCCCTTTGGAATTACCATTTCTCTTGTTCCCATGAACATGGTTAATATTGAATGGGCATTAAGAAACACTACTTGCAAATTAGTAAAATTTATTAAGTGAGAAATAAGTCAATACGCTGTAAATTATAAAAGCACTTATAATAGGATAGAATAGAACTCTTCTCTGCCAATGGAGAAGTTAAAATTAAAGCGATCTCTTTAAATTAACAATCCATCAAATCAAATTCCACTTTTTAAAATATATTCTTTTTATATACTGGATGGTAGATCCTAAGTATCTAGTCCTTTTACTTGTAACCTCAGACACATCACAATCTCCAAGACATGTTTGCTTCTCTGTTCACGACCTGCTGAAAGCTATCTTACCTATCTCAGAGCAATTGTAACTATTAACACCATAATTGTGGTGATATCATTATGTAAATTGTGAAGTTCTTTTTATTTTTTAATTGCCAAAGAGTATGTATACTTGCTAAAGAGAGATAGAGACATAAAGACACAGAGAGAGAGAGAAAGCACCCCCAATGGACCACAGTCACTCTGTAATCCTTTTTCCATTTCTCCTTTTTGTCTGGATTTTGAGCACACGCTCATGTCCTCCCAGTATGTTTTCCGAGTTACCAAGGTTGGGAATCATACTGCAGTCAACCATATGGGATCAGGCTCCCTCAACCATCAGGCGACAGGATTGTTCTGTAAAGCTCTTTGAAGATTCTCTAATAGTAGGTCAAACAATAAACATGCTCCAGAATTTTGTCCTCAAACCTGGAGAGTTTGATAGGATTTCCGAACTGTTTGCTTTTATGTAACCTCTATACATGTTAAGGATTAATAATAGGTAATTATTATTTGAAATAAATTAATTTCTGTGATTTCTGAGAATAGCAGCTGTGGAGGGTAATTCAATGTATATCCTCATACTTCTGTTGTCTCTGTGGTCCCATGTCGAATTGCATACGTTTGGTTTGTGAAGATTTTCTTGGTTTGTGAGATTTTTCTTGAGTGAATCATTCCATTATTGCATTTTGGGGAGTTTGACGTAAACCATTAAATTCGTCCGATCTTACAGGAATTCATACAAGACCATCTTGCCAAGATTTTCAGAGAATAGTTGTTTAAGACAAGAGTTTTTCAGCAATTCCAAATTATTCTATGAAAGAAAGCAGTTGCAAACACTTCCTCATTGAGCGCTGGGAAGAATATGTATCTTCGGAAAAAAATCAGTTTCAATTTGGTCATTTCTTATTTATTTGCCCTAAAGCATACTACCTTGTAACACTTATTTTCTTTCTCAATCATACTTGTAGAAAGACAATAGGCATCCAAAGAACATGCTATTTCATGCTCTTTCCCCCACCATCTTTGGTGGTGGTGTTCCACTCATCTGCCCAGTCTATACTGGACTCCTCTCACCACAATGCCAAACTCCAGTCCCACCTCCTGTTGGCAGCTTTTTTTGTATTTTCTCAAAGATGGTAGCAATTTCAGCAAAATATAGTATGGAAGAGCTGAAAGAGATGATGTTCCTCAAGCTAGAGAAGAATTAGAAGGTGGGAGGCTATCACAATATCACACATGTGACAATGGAATAACACACTTCTAGTTCCACTAATATTATGATGAATAATATTCATTATTGTTCTCATTACAACAGTTAACTATATTATTGCTTTTATATTGAATAATGGGAACCAGATTGCAAAACCATTACTTTTATTAAGTTTTCTGAAACTATTGTTTTAACTACTAAATAAGACAAAACCTGTCATGGATTAGTCTGTTATAAAAACATAAGTGGATTTTCCTAGAAAGGTAGAGTACGCTATAATGTTTAGCTTCATTTCTAATTTAGATCATTCTGTTTACAATAATGATTTCATTTTTATTTATTTTGGAGATATTTGCACAATTATTAGTTAAAAAATAAGACTAGAATCATAACTGAAACAAAATCACCCTATCTGAATCAGTACAATGTTACATAATATTTATTCGTGGTCAAATATAAAAGAATATTTTTTGAAGCTACAAGTGATTATGTAACAGGAAGCAGAGGATCTTCAAAACTAGCCAAAAATAAATTATAGTAGTATATACTTAGATTAGATAGGGAGACATCTTAATGCATTGTGATGAGGTAGAATGATTCATTGCAAGAGATGGAATAGAATCTTTATGACAATGTTTACAGAAAGCACACTTAAGCAGTAGTTTGTTTTCATGAGAGGGTAAGTAGGGTATAACTGAATATGAAAACCTCCTATTTACTAGAGTCTTACCCAAGTTAGGTATTGTGTTACTATAGTAAGTGTCTCAAAGACATAAGTATCAGTAAGTCTCTGGCTTCATGCCTATAAACAATTATAATCCAATAGAAATAGAAATTAATTTATAGTATTCTCTAGTCAAAAATCTTAAAATGGCTTATTTAAAAAAATGTTTGAATCTTCATGGAAGAAAAGAATGGTATGATTAAGAAGGCTTCATATTGGGACATTTGAATATGCTGTCACCTCTAGTGGTGTTGAAAATGGTGGTGATGATGGTGGTGGCAGTCAAGGTTACGAAGATGGTGGAAATGTTGATGATACATTCTTGAATTTCACTCCTGATTTGGGAATTTCTTGAGAAATGAGATGCAAAGTCTAGGCTGATAAAAATCAAAATATATGTTTTCTAACTATGAAAGCCCACATGGCATTGTTTGAGAAAAAGACAATAAGGGGACAAAGAGAACTTGATGGTTATCTTAGTATTTCCATTCCAGAGGCTGGAGTGTAAATTCTTCCCCTTCCAGGTTAGCATGAAGGTAAAGGTGAAATGTTGCCTTTCAACACAATAGTCAGAATTCTGTAGTTTCTTTAGAAAGAGTCTCATTATAGAGTATCATGATTAAAATTGTTCTTTATAAATATGAAATCTGAACTCTGAGTGCCACATAGATCGGAGAAGGGACGGTAAGCTAAGACAATTGTAGAAACATTGGTAAGACAGTATCTATAAATTTAGAGTCATATGAGGGTGATGGCAGTAGGAATAAAAAAGGGAAAATGGATGATAGAGGCAATGCTATAATCTCTGTAACTTGATAGCTAACTGATAAGTCTAATAAGATGAGGGAAGAGTTCAATACATGAAATTTCAATCTTTTTAGAAATGATCGACATAGGGATATCAGGAAGAGCTAGTTGTGGTGAAGAACTGAGCTAACATCAAGTTCACTTTGGTCAGGGTTAGTTGACCCTATTAGTGAAGAAAATTTCTTTAATTGAACAACTGTTTACCACATAAGGACTGTGTAGAAGTCATTTGTAGAAGCCATGTCATTTCTGTTTAAATGGAAAGGACATTAAATCCTGGCAGTTGGGGTTAAGGTATATCATTTTGAGGGACCAGCAGCTGGCATAATGGCTATGTTGCTGGATTCCCATGTAGTCTACTGTAGTTCGAGTCCTGGACCCGGCGGCTTCAACTCACGCTGGGAACGTGTGCGTGTGTGCCTACAATCCCAAGAGGAGAATGGAGAAGAAGAGATTGCGGCATGGTCATCCTCCCTGTGTGTGTGTGGGATAATTTCTTGCTTTCTGTCGCTCTGTTTCTATCTTTCTGGGAAGCGCACTCACCCTATAGTAAAAACCTCTAAAAAAAAAGGATATATCATTTTGAGATGGAGTTTGTGATATGAGTATGCTTTTATTAGCATTTTTATTATACAGAAATACATATTTATGGGGCCAACTATGGCATGGTGGTTAAAGAGGCTGAAACCCACGTGGCCAAATGCACAGTTCGAGTCCTAGACCTGGTGGTTTGAAAAACACACTGTGTGTGTGTGTGTGTGTGTGTGTGTGTGTGTGTGTGTGTGCCCAAAATCCTGACAAGAGAGAGAAATGGAGGAGAAGGGATTAGGTCAGGACCGTGCCCCATGAAGAATGTTTTATCTTTCCTACTCTCTCTCTCTCTCTCAGGCAATGCATGTGCCCTCTGGCAAAATTGAAAAAACGAAGGAAATAAATATATGTTTATGATAGGCAAATGAGAAAATACTGGCACTAAGAGAAAAGAATAGAAAAAAGCAATGTTAGTCTTAATTCTTTTGTGTAATTGGAAGTTGGAGAACAAGGTGATGTTGCTTCTCTCCTTTGCAGATATATGGCTATGCAACGACCCCAGATGGCTATGCACCAGAGTATCCACTCCCCTTGGTATTCAAAGTTGAAGATGATAATGATAATGCTCCATATTTTGAAAACAAAGTGACTATCTTTAGTGTGCCGGAAAATTGCCGAACTGGTAAGTGGACATTTAGAATGGCATGTTAAGGTTATTTGACACTGGAACCAGCAGATGGCATAATGGTTACATTACTGACTCCAACATGGCTGATCGTGGTTCGATTCCTGGACCCAGTGGCTTCAAACTCGTGCCCAAAATCCCAAGAGGAGAATGGAGGAGAAGAGATTGCAGCATGGCCTTCCCTCCGGGAGGGAAGTGGGTGGTAATTTCTCACTTTTTGTCTCTCTATCTCTCTCTGTTTTTCTGGTGAGAACATGGACCTATAGAAAAATCTCTCTTAAAAAAAAGATTACTTGACACGTGGGCCAACAGATGGCGTAAAAGTTATAAAAAAGAAAAGAAAAGAAAAGGAAAAAAACTCTATAAAAAGATTATTTGACACTTAGTCAATGTTATGATTACAAAGATTTAATTTTATCATTGTCTTTTATGCTTTATTTTTGTCATTTCTGATTACATATTTATTTTGCTCATTAGAAACTTATAGTATGTGACAACACTACTGGGTATTAAATTACTCTGACAAAATTTTAATTCCATGAAATAAAATTTTATCATGGATTTGTAATTATGGAAGTACTTAATTGACTCATTCTATCTAGGGTGGGGCTGTTGTTGAAGTTGCTGACTGATTTACATATGCATGCTTTAAAAGTCTGTAGTGAAGGGATTACTGCTTGGTTTTCCCAGTGGGAGAAGTCACTTGCTCAGTATAAAAGGAACTAGCCAGGAATTTGAAGAGGATATGGCAAGGGATTTAAGAGTGGGTCAAGAAATCATTTTTTCTTTTAGCAAAGCAAGAAGTTTTTTGTTTTTTTTTTCATTTATGCATTCATGAATTTTTTTTGTTGTTGTTGTTATCTTTTACCTAAGGATATTAGAAAAGTTTAGGAAATATTCCCTTCCCCTCTAAATGCTCCAAAGAGAGGTGTCACAAAAAAGTAGATATAACAAAGTGTTTTGCATAGTACCAAGGGTTTTTTTGTTTGTTTTTTGCTGAAGGGCATGCATGCTCACCAGAGAGAGAGAGATGCTGAAAGGCATGCATGCTCACCAGAGAGAGAGAAGATAGAAAATGAAAGCAAGCATTTCCCAATGAGGAGAGGTCACATTTCAATCCCTTTTCTTCCGTTTCTCCATCCTGTGTCCTATCCTGATTTTGGACACATGTGTACATGTGCCCAGCATGTACTTCAAGTCTCTGGGGCCAGGACTTAAACCATGGTTTACCATGTGGGAATCAGATCCCTTAACTACTAGGCCATGGAGCCAACTAATGAATTTTTCTTCTTAACACACATTAGAAATGCAAAGGGATTGACTTTTCTAGGCTATATATTTTATTAAACTCTTATAATAGCAGTATATGTAAAATATAAATCATATTTCTGTGAATTTTTTGATTAAATACTATTGAATATTAGTTTTCATTTTAGCCTAAACTTGTAACTAGTGTCTAGTATGATGGCAATTTTAGAAAAACACCAGATTTTTGCTTCAATTAAATTTGTCATTAACACTTTAAATACTATTATGTAGAATATTTAAAAATGCTTGACTTTACATGATATACTATGCTAAATTTTTAGTCATAAAATCATACACTTTTCTTTCTTTCTTTCTTTTTTCTTTCTTCTTTCTTTCTTTCTTTCTTCTTTCTTTTGGGAGAGGATTTTTCTATAGAGCATATGTGCTCACCAGAAAGACAGAAAGAGAGACAGAAAGCAAGAAATCACCCCCCAGGGGGGATGGCCACACCACAGTCCCTTCTCCTCCATTCTCCTCTTGGGATCTTGGGCATGCACGCACGTGCGCCTAGCGTGAGTTTAAGCCACCGGGTCCGGGACTTGAACCATGGTCAACTACATGGGAGTCCAGCAGCATAGCCATTACATCATCTACTGGTCCAGAGATCATACACTTTTCAAAGGCAAACATTTTTGTGCTTTTCTTTGCTATGCACATATAGAAGGTAGCAAGTTGATTAACTAATTAGTTAAACTGCTCCACTATATGTCTGACTGTACAAGAGACTAATGCTTTTCATATTCTCAGTGTTTATCATTTACATATGTGACACAGGTGTACTTCTAAAACAACACGTAATTTGAATCTTTACAAAGTTTCAATGCATTTTCAAGTACTCAGAGATTTATCATGGCATAGTACTGCTGCTCTGATTTATAATAATCCATTCATTGCTTTTTAAACTGTATTTTCCAAATTAATTTTTTAAAAATGAAATCAGTTTGATCATTTGTGTAGCTAAGATTGTGACCTAGGCTGCCAAGGAGCTTGATAAGACTATCTAGTTTACTAAATAAATTTGTAAGAAATGTCATTAGTGCTCCTCCATTCTGCTTCCAGGTACACATGTTTAAAAGTACTGCTCTGTCAACAATAGTGGATTGTTAAAGCAACATTTATAATATTCAAATATCTAGGCCATGAAACCTGTCCAGTGACACCAAGTCTAGTGCACAATGTTTGTGTCTTGCTTATATTAATAATTACATATATGTATTAGTAATTCAGCACATCTATTAAAATGGAGCATAAAATCTTTATCATGTATAACCTTCGGAAAAACAAAGTATACAGAGAAGCTATTATCCAAAAATGGTCCTTGAACCGGGAATTGAGTTGGAGAAAAGATTTTGAGAATCACTGTTCCCAAGAGTAGGGAGGGAACTCTTCTGTTTTGTGTAGAATACAAAACAAGTTATGCACACAGCTACCTGGCTGAAGTCGCCAGAAAGGGGAGGCTTGGAGAAGTTTTGAACACTTGCACACTTTTCAACCTATTGTAAAACTGATCTACTTGTGGTTTTTGAAAGAATTTTCAATAGCAATTCCTTGATTTTTATTTTGTTTCTAATTCAATTATGCAGAAATTTTAAAGTTTCCACAATATTTTTTATTTAACAGGAACTTCAGTGGGCCAAGTGACTGCTATAGACCTTGATGAACCTGAAACTCTACATACTCGTCTGAGATATAAAATCTTACAGCAAATCCCAGATCATCCAAAGCATTTTTCCGTACATCCTGATACAGGTGTCATCACCACGACAACGCCAATACTAGATAGAGAAGTAATGATTTCACTCATTAATTTTCCAGTCATTAAGCTATATTTAAACTGATAATGAGCTCTGGAAGAGAAGTTATAGTAAGGTCCCTGTGGGCTGGTGTCCAGGCATCCTTCTTTAGGGTTTGGTTAGGACTTCTCTGTAGACTTCTTTTGTCCCTACAGAGATTTTAGGAAAATACAAGGTATTAGAAAAGGTCTTATTTAAGGTCATTGACTTGATTTCATCTCTTGATGCTAAAATTCCTTTATATTTCTTTTATTTCACTTTTGTCTTATAAAAACAAGTTTATTTGACTTCCATGTATAATTTTTTAAACTAATGTTTTATTTGATAAGGCAGTTTAAGGTTCACAGAAAAATTGTGAAGAAAGTACAGAGGGTTCCTATATATCCCCTCACTCCGAACAGCCTCCCTTACATAAATATCCTTCACAAGAGTGGTGTATTTGTTTACAATCAGTGATCTCACATTGATACCTTAAGTCAACAGATTACATTAGGGTTCACTTTTGGTGCTGTATGTTCTATGGGTTTGGACAAATACCTATAGAATGTACCTATCCCAATGTATCCATTGTGATAGTATACAGAGCAGTATCATGCCATAAAGTCCTCTGTTCTCGCCTTCCTCATGCCTTCCTCCTCCTTAACCATTGATTTCCTTTCTGGAAACCATTGATCTTTTTATTGTCTCCATAGTTGTATCTTTTCCAGAATGTCATATAGTTGGAGTTACATAGCATATAGCCTTTTCATATGGCCCTTTTCATTAAGTATTAGGCATTTAAATTTCCTCCATGTCTTTTCATGGCTTGATAGCTAATCTTTGTTAGTCTTGAATAATATTCTACTGTCTGAATATATCAGTTTATAATCTACTGAAAGGCACAGTAACTGCTTTCAAGTTTTGATGATTATGAATGAAAACCCTTTTAAACCCTTTTAAACTTTAAAACTTCCCATTGCACTTACTGCCCAATGTCTTGTTCTGTATTTGTACTTACGATATTTTTTAAAAAATTGTATTTTAAAAATATTTATAAAATAATCACAGCCTGAACAGTGGCAATCAGAATTACAAATTACGGGGAATAAAAGTGTTCATTCGTGCACCTATTTCTTTTTTTCAGAAATGTGACACTTACCAGTTAATAATGGAAGTACGAGACATGGGGGGCCAGCCTTTTGGTTTATTTAATACAGGGACAATTACTATTTCACTCGAGGATGAAAATGACAATTCACCGTATTTTACAGAAACTTCTGTGAGTACATTTCTGCATTCATATATCTAGATTGATTTACTTATTCAAGAGACAAGTCTAAAATTTAATAGCTCTATTAGATCACACATTTTGGTTTAGTCACCACTTATAGATTACATAGAAAGAAAAATATGAGGGCCAGCAGATGGTATAGCAGTTATATTGCTGGACTCCCACATGGCTGACCATGGTTCAAGCTCCAGACCCAGTGGCTTGAAAAATCACACTGGACATGTGTGTGTGAGTGCCCAAGATCCTAGGAGGAGAATGGAGGAGAAGGGATTGCTGCATGGTCATTCCCCCTGGGGGGTGATTTCTCACTTTCCATCTCACT